TCTCTGCGAAATCCTCGCTGGAGCTTCTGGGAACGCCTCGTGGATACTGCTGCCAGGAGACCAAAATGCTGCCCAAATATACCCGCAGCTGGAAACGGGACATGGCGTTTCCTCTCTGACTCCCTGCTGCACTCACATGAGCCCAGCTGTGAACGGATGGCTCGCAGATCAGCAGCGTTCTCGTTGTTTTGAAAGATGAGGTCGTGCCCTCATGGATTTGAGTGTGTGTCTTCCGTGTGTGGAATGAGCAGTACTTGCTGTGTGTTTTGTACAAGCGTTACAGATCATTTTGCATGTGCGTATCACAAGTTCAAGGCCACTGCCTGAGCACAGTCTTGGGTGTTTTCTAGCGATCGGAGCCTCCTGAAGTCATTAGGCTGTGTGTCTTTAGCACCACCTTTTGCATACTTAGGGAGATGGCGTGTTTAAGTAAACTGAGTGAGCGTAGGCCTATGTATTCTTGTGACTGAAGTAGCTCTAACATGGCTGTGTGGTTTTAGAATGGGTTAGTTTTATTTCTTAAATTGTTGCTGACCAGTGTAACAATCACGAGTGACAGAATTCTAACGGGTAATCCAGAGTCGAGGAGAACTGGCTAACGTGTTCCTTAGCACAGGCCTCAAGTCCTTATAGTTAAATAAACAAATGTAGGAGCAGTTTGAGGATTCTGAAGACGTCTTCCTGGAGTGAGTGAGAGTCAGCACACGTGGGCCCTGGCTGGACTTCGTGTTACCCTCCACTCAGCTGCTCTTTTGCGTGCGGTAGTCACTGTTTACCCTGGCTGTTACCACTGAAATCTGTCATCTTCGTTTACATTTTTTGAGACTGTGGTTTCTGGAATGTAAGTATACAGCTGAGCAGATCTCTGCAGATGGATGTTGTATGAGGCAGGAGTGCACAACCGGAGACACGCGGGAAGGACGGGGTTTAGGACTGATGAGTTTCAGAGTCTCCTTCAGGCCGAGCCCCTGGCCTGAGTGAACTGGATCGGCCTCTTGTTGGGCTCCCGGGACGGCAGGAGCCACACTGACGCCGAAATCCGTGAATCCAAGCACATCTGCACCCTCCTCTTTGTTTTCACAGAAAGCAAAGAAACCAAAGGCAGCGGAGTCTGTCTCAAAATCAGATGTCAGTGAAGGTAAGACGCTGAAAGAGTTCTTTGTTTTAGTAAAATAAGGCCATAGGCCTGCTTCCTAAATGAGTTCCTGGTTTTGTTTTGCTTAGCTTATTCTGTTCCTTTTACAGAAACCCCAGGACCATCAAAAATTAAGACTGGGAAGCCCGAAGAAACCAGCCTTGATTCTAGAGAGAAGAAAACCAACTCGGCTCCCAAAAGTGCAGGTGGGTCCTGCGGAGACGACAGTGGGTGACGCAGAGGCTGGAAATGCAGGCGGTTAGGGCACCGTTTTATTGGAGTGAATTCGGAAACTCAAGCTCATCCTAATTGTGCCTCTAAACAGTCGTGTGAGCGCGTTTCAGGGCTAACTGAGAAACAGCTGATACGCCGCAGAGCAGAAGCCCTGTGGGGAGGGGGGCCGGGGTCACGGGTGCTAACTGTCCAGTTTCCCTGTGGCGTCTGCACTTGGTGCCAGACTGACAAGGCATGCAGAGACCTGGACTCAGACGTCCTGCAGACGCTGATCAGTGGACTGAGGCTCAGGGCGTTGGGCAGGGCCGTCCCCCTTCCCTCTGAGGCTGGGGTTCTGTGCGCACCACATGTGGCATCAGAGCCAGCCATCCCTCCACCTGCCTCTTGACCAAGTATCAGAGAGCCATTTGGCGGTTAGTCCAGAATTTAGTCCATTTCTCCCCGAACTCACTACCTTTAACAAAGAAAATGAATTTATTTCACAAAGAAGAAAAACATGGATTCATTAGGTAAAGGAAAGTGCAATCTTACGCTGTAAACGTCCTCCACAGTGTTGTGGGTCCCAGTACCCCCTCCACGTAGTACTGCTTGGCCTGGGGTGGGTCACACAGCCTCCTGGCGTCTCTGTTTCCACCCCTGTAAGCAGGCTGAGACCACCCCCTACCCCCAGGGAGATCGGTCTGATGTAATCATTCGTGGAGCTGGGACCAGTGCCAAGAACAGAGCAAGCAGTGATTTAGTGTGATTTTAAATGATAGATTTAAGTGTAGTAGCTTCATTTCTTTTTAGGGAGGGGTGGACGATTGAGGTCACATACTTCAGCATTCATCCCCAGAAAGGAGGAGGGAAATTCCTGGGATTAACAGACCTTTTTCTTCCCTTTGGAGAAAGTGAGGTTTGAATGACCTGTGGGCCCAACCTTAAAGTTTTTGGCTTTTCATTTTTTTTCTAGCAGCAAATGGGAGCTCTTCTGGAAAAGCCGGGAAGCCTCCGTGTGGAGCGACAAAGAGGTCCATCGCCGACAGTGAGGAGTCGGAAGCTTACAAGTCCCTTTTCACGACTCACAGCTCCGCCAAGCGCTCCAAGGAGGAGTCAGCCCACTGGGTCACCCACACGTCCTACTGCTTCTGAAGCCCGCGCCGCGCCCCCACGAGGGAGGGGCTGTGGCCCTGGGCTGTGCTCTGTGCGCTCTGCTCCAGCTGCATCTGCACGAGGTCAACCCCCCAAACCTCTGCCGCTGCGGTCAGTCCTGCCTGTGAGGCAGGTGGGGGCCCGCGGTGGCCGTGCCAGCCCCACCCCGTCCCCCTCTCCCTCGGGACCGCGCTCCCTTCCCCCTGCAGGTGCACTTGGACCTTCCCGTGGCCCCGAAAGCGTGTTGGCGGCACTATTTATGCTTAAAATAATTAAAGACTCCAGATTGCTCATGGTGTGTGGTCGGCTCATTTTGACTAAAATTCTCATGGTTTTGCTGCCAATGGGTAATTAATTAAATAAGCCAAGTGAAACTGAACTGAGAAAGGATGGGTTTCAGGTACACTCTGCCTGCAGGGCCGCGGGAGGGAACGTCTGTGCCAGAGAGGGGTCACCGCCTGGGTCGAGTACTTGGTGCCCTTCCCGTGTCATCTGGGTGACAGAGGAGATTGACTGGGGCACCTGATGATTTGGTACAAAAATAAAGCAAGTCTGAAGTCTGCCTTTTCTCTCATCTATCTGTGTTTTTCTTCTTTCTTCCACTAATGTTTTGGCAAAAAAAAAGAGAAAATTGTAGCCATCACATTGTTAGCGACAGGAGTAATCCTGTGACGTCAAGTCAGTTTAACGTCCTCGCAGCAGGAGATAGGATTGTCCATAAAACTGGTGTGTTTTATCCATAAAGTGTGTTGAAATCAATAATTAACAAAACTCTCTATGAGACAGTGAATTAAGGACCAGGAACATCCGAGTCTCAGGACTGTCTTCTGGAGACACTTGTATTACTGAGATGATCGGCTGGTTCTTTATATCAGAACCCGGGGCTCTGGTGTCCCTTAAAAAGCAGAAACAGGAGCTGAGGGAGGAAGGACGGGGGATGGGGGCAGGCGGGGAGGGGGCCAGAGAGTCCGCCCTGCCTGCTCTGAGGGTGTATTGACATGAATATAGAAGCATTTTAATCAGAATTCCATTAACAGTGCATTTTTGTTGTGGACTTGTCCAGAACAAACCAGAATCATCTGTTTTCTTTCCCTAATCAATTTGCTGTACAGCTCAGTTAAACCATTTTTTAGTTGTTGCTTTTCTTCCTCTTTTTTTGTTGTATAATTTTTGTAACAATTAGTGCCTTTTTAACCTGGTTAACATTGTTTTTTACCACCCTGAGTTTTCTACTTTAATTTTATGAAGAAAACTTGATACATCAGGCCTTTTAGTCGAATGTTACTAATTACACCCTCAGCCATCATGAGGTGATTATTGTTATTTTAAGGCCATTATTTGTACCAACTTCAGTTTTCTCCATTTTAGCGTTAATCAGTTTTATCTTGCATTATTATTATTTTTTTGCATTGGTTAGTTTGACTTTGTCCAGTTTTTTCTTGTGACCCAGCCACAGTGTCCAGCATCTCCACAGCCCTGCCTGTCCTCAAGGTCACATCCACGCTATGCACCCTCCCTCCCGCTCTCCTGTGCCTCTTCCAGCCGGTGCCCCACCCGGTTACCACCTGCCTCTGGCTTCTCCCTCCCTGAGCCTTTCCCCACTGAGGGAACCCTCCAGCCTAGGAGAGAAAGCCTTGCTTTGGAGAGTGCTTCCAGCCTCTCATATTTAGTGGGACATCGTGACCTCTGAGGCGTGAGGGGCAGCGCTTACCCCGCTCAAGGGGGGACAGTGTCTGCTCTGCGACTCCCCGCGAGGGCTGGAGAGCAAGGCGAGAAGGGCTCCTAGCAGTGCCTGATGCTCCACGGAGGACCTGAGCCCTGGGGTCTTCCTCTCACAGGCCTCACAGCCACCAAGGAGGCTGAGGTGGCCGTCCTGCCTCACGGGGGTGACAGCCGAGGCTCAGAGCAGTAGGTGAGATGCTCACGTGCCGGCAGCTCACGTGTCCAGTTGGGACTCCGGGTGGACTCCCGTGAATACCTGCCAGGTGGATAAAGCCCAGAAGCGGTGGGAGGCGTCCCCGCAGGACACCGAGGCCAGGGTTGCAGGAGCGCGGCCGGCCCTCCCTCCTCCGGGCCACCAGGATCCCCGCCCGCTCTGCCAGCAGCGACGGAGCTGGCAGGAGATCTCCATGTGCTGGCCATCATGTCCTTTATCCCCAAGAAACGGAAGTCTCCCCAAAATGGACTGAGAAGATGGTCACTCAACTCACAGACCTATTACTACTTTTTGACCCAGAGAGAATTTCAGGTTGAAGATCTTCCTAGACTTACCTGGTTTTCTGCTGGTCCTCTTCTGTTGAGAAGTGCTTTAGACTTGAACACAATGCAAGCCAAGAAGACGCGCCTCCTGTTGTTAAACACACCCCAGCATTTCCACGTAAGGGAAACCGGGTGGGACAAAGCTCTCTGAGCGCCAGATTGTTTGGGGTCACTTATGTAAATCAAGGGAGTCTTTTGGCCCCTGAGTGCATCACACTGTCCCCACCGAACTCTAGAGCACTATTTGGAGGAGTTGACTTAATGCAGGGTCCATACAGACATGAGGCACCTCAGATTACCCTGCAGTGGTTGCCCAGGGCAACAGGACCGACTTCCACAGGAGCCATGTGAGGCTGATCAGGGGAGACTGGGGACAGAGTGTGATTTCAAGGAGGAGACCCTGAAGGGCTCAAGATACAACCCCCCACCCTCTTCAGGCATCTGGGAGGGCCCAGTCCCCATGGGCTTCCCCCTTTCCTGCGCGCTCTCTCCCTGACTCATTTGTTAAGATCAAACTTGAATAGAACTACAAGTTTAATATGAAAAAAAAAAGATACACCCCCCAGCCCCTTCCCCAGTGGGCAACTCTTAATAGTAACCCCTCAGGATGAGTGCATTGGTTTAACTATCTATATTCTTCCTTCTAAAAATTTTTTATTGTGATATAATCGACATTGTATAAGTTTCAGTTGGTGTATATTGTGAAATGATCACCATTTACATGTGACAAGTCTGGTTATAATAGCAGTACCCGTTTCCTAGTCAACCCCTTGGTCTTGTCCCTCCTTAGCCCTGCCCAGATGGTCTCAGCAGGGAGCCCCCGCCCCGAAGCTGTGGGAGTGTCTGTACCTGGTCTCTACTCTCAGTCCTCCCCTTCTGGTTTTAAATCGTCTTACAGAACTTCTCTGTTGCTCAGCATGGTTCGAGGGGACCCTTCATTATATTCAGAACATTTTATCCTAGGGAATCAGGGTCAATCAGATGACCCAGCGGAACAACTACATACCCGTGTTCCGTTAATTGGGACTTTTTTGTTTCATGTCATTTTTAGAAAGTGATGGTTTCAAAGGCGTTGGCCAGTGAGCCCTGGCTTTATTCCTGGCATCTGCCTCAGTTGTCAGACAGTCTGTGTCCCTCTTGCCTCCGAGTCTTCACACCAGCCTAGAGGTCAGCCCCCTCCCAGCTCCTGATCATCCCTCAAATTCTACCCGAGTGTCTTTTTCAGGAGAGTCCGTCCCCTTGGTCTCTGAAAGCACTCACTATCTTCTTATCACAACTTAAATGAAATAAATGATACTCTTAATTCACCTGGGCATCACATACTCAGGTAAGGTCAGTGAGTATAAGTGTGAGGCAAAAGGGAGTGGTGGTGACTGTGGAGAGAACATGGTCCCCTAGAGGGGCGGTTCCTACTCAGCTCCAGCATAGAGTGGGGCCTAGTGTTATTTATTAGAGCTCTTCCATATTTTCAAAAGGAACTGGAAATCTGGCCTTTTTAAGTGAGCCCCTCCCACAACATTTAAATATTGGCAAATAATAGTTTTTAGAAACAATGTAGGCCAAAGAAAACACATCTGTGGCTCCTAGTTTGTAGCCTCTGGTTTAATAGGGGCCCATGCTTGGTCTCCTCTGCTCACCACAATGTCTGGATTCAACAAATGAAAACCGGGAACAGTGCTGGACTCCCAGTAGAGCAGCGGGGTCGGAAAGAATATACCGACTAGAAGATGGCATTCCATCACTCCTCCATCTCCTTTTTTATTGCCTGCTGGAAATTTCTCCCTTTCCCTTTAAGTCCTGCTCCCAGGTGACCCCTGTGAGCCGCATTTTCCTCAGCCTGGAAGTCATCACAATGGCCTGAGCTGGTCCTGGCTGGGGCCTCTGTGACATCACCAACGGCCCAGCCCCTAGGTCCCCCGTCTCCAGGTGCCAGGGCCAACAAGCCCACCATGAGCAGCTTCCTCCCCCATCTGTGCTCACCATGCGGACGCTGAAATGGTTCTTGTTCTTGCCTCTGTGCCTCTCCTGCGGCTGTGCCTTTATGTTTTCTTCTCTGAGAGATAAAGCCAAAGAACCCCAGGGGAAGGTGCCTTGCGGGGGGCACTTTCGAATTAGGCAGAATCTACCAGAGCATGCCCAAGGCTGGCTTGGGAGCAAGTGGCTCTGGCTTTTTTTTGTTGTTGTGCTATATGTGATACTGAAGTTTCGAGGAGATAGTGAGAAGAGTAAGGTAAGGATGGCTCCGTTTTTTTTACACGTTTACGTTGGTTCCATCTCAGAAATCTCAGACTCAGAGAAAGGATGTTCTTGTTGTAGGCAGGACTGTTACGTGTAATGAATTCAGAGACAGAGTCCCTAGGTCATGGTCCTGAGAAAGGTTCCCGACATATCCTTAGGGAAGACAGGGGACCTTAACCCACAGAGGTTGGGACTAATAGTTGAAGACCCACTTCCATTTATTTGGGGAATAAAACCTTGGCTCAATATTTATCCTGTTAAAGCAGTTTTTTTCAAATGGAGGTTAGATTAAGAAATTGGTGTGCTTCAGGTCAAGATTATTCACAGAGCCAGATTCACCACCCCGCTTTTTAATTTCCCTAGTGTTTGACTTATTGCAAGTTGCTGAACTGAATGGAAATGGCATCATTTTCCTTAGGGAAGGGAAAGACCTGTCGTAAAGGGGCAGAGGTGTAAAGAAGTAATGGCTGGCCCGTGAAGTGGGTGAACAACTCTCAGAAGGGGCAGGGAGAGAGGCACCACGGCATGTTCACTCTAGACAGACCCGACCCTTCAGAAGATTGTGTCCAGACTGACGGGAGCAGGGGTTGGGGAACCTTTTCTGTAAAAGACCGGATAATTGATACTTTCAGCTTTGCAGCTCAGTCCTCGTTGCAGTGACAACCCTGCCATTTTAGCACGAAAGCAGCTGCAGACACTATGCAAATGAGTGAGCCTGGCTGTGTTCCAATAAAACTTTATTTCCAAAAAAAGATGGTGGGCCAGATTTGGCCATCGTTTGTCAATCCCTGGGCTAGATCAGTGCTAGAGCCAACTTCTCTTAGGTGTCAAACCCAGGGACATCAACGGTGTTTTTCATCCTGGATGTCTTTCTTGACAGGAGCAGAATCCTAGCCTTCGAGGCTGTTCATTTCGCACTCCAGTAAAGAAAAATCAAAACGCTTCCCCCAACAGAGACTATGCATTCAGTACCTTAACCCAGCTCGAGATGGACCTTGTGCAGTTTGTGTCCAAGGTGCGGAATCTGAAAGTCGTCATGGCAACTGGCAGTAACCTCAAGATTCAGAACGTAGAGGTGCCCGCACACCCACAAAATAACATCACGATCTACGAGATATGGGGCGAAGAGGACTCCGAGTGAATGGATTTGTGTGTCAAAGTAGGAGAGAAAAAAATTGAGTGTTGACAAACCATATCCAAACTAATAAAACTAGTCTGAAGGAAAAGAATCCTCAAATTTGGGAACTTTTGCCTTTCTCTTTTTTTAAATTTGAAAGAAATGAAAACCAGTGGCCATAGCAGTCAGAGTTGCTTTGGCCTTCCTCACTCCCTGCAGGGCTGAGGGTGGCGAGAAGGGCGTGGGCCGCCGCCTGAGGGCAGGTGGGCATTCTTGGCCCCCGTGCCATGGCCCTTGCAGAGGCAGGCTGGGGGAATTTGGGGTAAGATGCTGATATTATTTTCATAGTAGCTCTCTTTAGAGTAGCTATTTTTTTGCAAAAGATGAAACTGGTTTTTCTCTCTATAATTAACTACATTACAAAGGATGACTTCAGTTACAGGTTTAAAATGATAAAATGATTGAATGAGAAGGTGTGTGTGTCAAGAGGAGGGTGGATTCTAGGATCATTTCATTTTCTTATCACCAGAAATATCGTCTAATTCATTCTGTCTGGTGGGTCCCCTGTATTGACTTTTGCTTCTACAAAACTCACAGTTAACATATGTCTCATTGGATTAAGAGACATGGAGAGTCAAACCATAGTTTTAAAACATAATTTGGACACAGATGAGCCAGCCAGGGTTTCCCAAAGTAGTCAGTATGAAGGTTCTTTATAGGATTTATTTAAAATATGGCCATTTTGGCTTGTTCGTACGGCTTGTGGAAACTGCACTTACTACAGCTGTTAGATGCGTTTATGACCCCCCATCTAGGCCAGGCTGCTAGTGCCAGGGACGTGAGGTGCAGGCCTGGACAGAGGAGTGAGCTATGCGAGACCGTGGAGACTCCCTCAGTCCCCAAATTACCGTGTGCTTGAGTCTCCATCACTTCCTGCCCAACCATGAAGAGTTAATTCTCATCCCTTGAGCAAAGTCTTCAGGATCCGTCCCACACGTGTGTGCGGAGCTAGACCTCAGATCGCTGCTCGTCATGGTTACATTGTCTTTGAAAAGCGGTCCCTGAACCCCTTCTGTCTTAACTCCAACTTTCAGGATGGTGGGGGGAGGGGGGGAGGAAGGATCTGAGACCACTTCCTTGTGTCTTCTGAATACTTTCTGGGTGTTTTCAAGAAAATGGGACTATGTGAGTTATTTTCACAGCACACGCTGAAGAAATGCAGATAAGGACCAAGTATGCTGGTGGTACCCTGTGATGTCGGTGCGGGGCACATTTTAGATTAGAATGGAGATCATCTCATGATCGCCAAACCACAGCTCAAGGGCCCAGTCAGCCCATGAGCCAATAATGGTTTTTATATTTTTTAATAGTTCAAAAAATCAGAAGATAAATCATATTTCATGACATGAAAAATACATGAAATTCAAATTCCAATGACTGTAAGTAAATTTTTTCTTGGAGCCCAGCTGCACCCACCACTCACATATTGCCGCCGGTTGCTTTTGTGCTCGGTGGCAGAGTTGAATTATTCCACAGAAACCATTATGGTCCACAAAGCTGAAAATATTTAGTAAGTAGCCCTTCCCAGTTTGCCAGTCCCCAGTAGCTGCTCATCTTAATTTATATGTGAACAACCAGGAAAGGTGTTCACTGGGAGCCGATGGATTCAGCAGTAATCTTCACGAACAGGTGGTTGTCTACACCTGCCGTCTTCATCAGAGGAGGTGCACACGGGTGGTTGGCAGAATTCATTTCCAGAATTCAGTCTCCAGCAAGGAGGTTAAGGCTCCAGAGCAAGTCTGCTCCCAGTCTTACAGAACGTACGGAGTCACAGGCAGGACCTCCTGTCCCCTTGGCCACGTTCTACTGACTAGAAAGTCACTCCAGGGGAGGGGGTTACACCAGGATGTGGACAGGAGGATGGAAACCCAGCTGCAAAAAGGGTAGCTGTGTGCTTGCAGTGATGGGGGCTTCATGGTGATGCTAACGAGGACCCGTGAGAGGACAGCTGTCGTGCTGCGTGGCCTGAGCACGTGCAAAGCCTTTGCCGTACACCTGGGTGCAGGTGGGAGGCCAAATCTTAAGGTGACCCCCCAATGGCACACAGCCTTGTATAATCTCTCCCGAATGTGGGCGAAAGCTGTGACTGATGGAATAGTCACCCCCTCGGTCACACTGTGCTGTCATAGCCAGGAGATGCTCCTGGTGGCCCCGAGGAAGCCAGCAGCCGTGTGTGAGATCATGGGTCTCAGAACAAGGATGTGAGAGCAGCCCCTCGGGTCTGAGAACGGTCCGCAGCCAAGAGCTAGAAAAGGAACCAGGAAGCCCAGTCTTACAGCTGCAAGGACGTGGGGTCCGCCCACGCCCAGTGGCCTGCCAGAGGCCCGAGTCATTTGCTTTGTCACACCGTCACTATGTGATGTTATCTGTGTATTGACCTGTTTCCGGTTTGTCCCTTCTCCCCTGGAGTGTAAGCTCCATGAGGACAGGGGCGGAGTCTCCTGTGGTCACAGCAGTGTCCTCAGCGTCTGGAACAGGGCTTGGCACACGACAGGTGCCCCATATAGATTTTTAAAACCTTCTACTTGGAACTCATTTCAGACTTCCAGTTGCAACAGCAGCACAAAGAGTTCCCATTTACCCCTCACCCAGCTTCCCCTAATGCTGACGTAACCATAGGAGAATCATGAAAACCAGAAAACGTAATATGGGTACAGTACTGTTACTTCACTAATTTGAATTTTATTTCATTAATGAAATTCACTCCTTGAATGTCCTCTCACTGTCCTACACCCAAGCCAGCATCCCACGTTGCGTTCAGCCTTCTCTCCTCCGTGTCCCGGGTGTGTCTTTTATGACCTTGACACTTCAGAAGACCCGTGATCAGCTGTTATGTAGAACGTCCCTGTTTGGGTTGAATGAATGATGTTTTCTCACGATAGAAATGCATTTCTGGCAAAAATACCAGAGAAGTGGTGTCATGTCCTCGATAAACCACGTCCAGGCGTCTGTGTCGGGTCTGCGCCCCATTGCTGTCGACATGGCCTTGAACTCTGGGCGAAGGTGGCGTCTGCTGGCGTCTGCTCCTGCCCCCACTTTCACTCACTGATTTCCGCACCATCAGCAGGTCTTGTCTGTCACAGTTTTCTGTGGTGTTGGTGTTTGCCTGATGCTGATTTCAGTGTTCCTCTTTCCTGCTACATTTATTAAGTGCAATTCTACTGAAAGGAAGAGCTGTCCTTTCTCCCCCACTTATTTGATGATTTATTTATATCAGTATGGACTTCTAGATACTTATTTTAGCTTATTAAAATCCAATACTTTGATTATTTATTTTCCGGCTCAAACTTTTCCAGTTCCTTTAGGTTGGCTCCTGCGTACTTTGAACAAGCCCACATCCTCCCCTGAGCAAGTTCTGCCTCTCTGGCAACCCAGCATGTTCCAGGAGCATCTTGTTTATTCCCTGCCTCAGCCCCAGAATCGACCACTTCTCCAAAGAGCCCTGGTTCCTTTTATTGGAGAATGATGGTTAGCAAACAGGGTCTGGGCACTCATGTGCTCATCTGTACTGACTGTCATCGCCCCCAGGCAGAAAGAGCTAGGAAACATCTGTGTGTATGTTACCCACCCCCCACCGTCTGATTTCTGTATCTGCATAGCTGTACATATATATGTCAATTACCAGGACTTAATCCCAATCGCTCTGATTCCAGCCCAGTACGTCGGGTTCATTCTAGCCATCCTCCTTCCCCTTATAGCTTCTTTCTCAAACAGTGAGGACCCAGCTCTCATGATCTACATTTGCTGGTTCGTTCAGTTTCCAGTGCACACTTAGTTTCCGAGTTTTGAATGCAAACCCCGGAGAAGCACATTATATCGAGGTCACAGCATTGCCGACAGTTCCTTTGTCTTTAGCTTCGCAATATCCAGTTAAGACGAGACGTTCAGTTTCCTTAAGCGATTTCTTCTCTTCCCACCCCCATCAATGTGGTCAGTGATCCTTCTGTCCTGTGTTAGGCCCATTTGTTAGTATCTGATTCCATTTCAGGTTCTCCAGCGTCCTGGCTGGTTTTAATTGTCGGTTTGCTCTCTGAGTATGTGAAGGTATGTGAAATATCACAATGGTTCTGAGAGTCAAAGGTCTAGAAAAAGATGCACCCAGAGAACTGGCGGTCTTTCTGCATCTCTGGTACCCGGATGCCATGCTCTCCTCCCCTCCCTCCAAGCCCTGTAGGGATGTGATCAGCCTCTTTGGTTTCTGTTTTATCCTTCCTGTATTTCTCTTGCACAAATGACCAGATACATGTGTATTTTCTTATACCCTCTCTTTCTGACATGAAGCAAATTGTGTGTATACTTTGGGACTTTGCTTTTTCGACTTAACAGAATGTTAGTCACTTTGTACAGCCTCTTAGAGGACATTCTCATTCTCTTTTCCACTGCAGAGTGCTCTATGTTGTGGATGTACCAGTTTGTTCAACCTCTATATGCAGACATTTAGGTAGTTTCCAGTAGTCTGAAATGACAAATAATGATGCAATGAAACAACCTTGTGCGTACGCGTTTTTCTGCTGTTGGTGATGTATCTTCAGGGAAGCGCCTAGAAGTGAGCTTGGTGGGTAAAAAGGGAAGCGCGCGTGTAGTTTTCTTAGGAATTGCCAAATTCCTTCTAGAAGAGTTGTGCCAACTTGAGTTCTCATCAGGCATGCCAATAAAGATTTTTAAACGAACGTGTGGACAGCTGGTTGGGCACGTCTGCCTGAAACCTCTTAGAACGCTTTGCATGAGCTGCAGTTACTGAAGATGGCCACCAAGTGGCAGACAACGCCCATCGCAGGGAACGGCGCGATCGTGTCTCCCAAAGATGCTGTTTTCAAGGGCCCTTGACAATAGTGACGTGGAAGTAGAAGTAATAGTAGTCATAGTACTTTTGTTACTGATGGCAACTGGCATTCATAGTACTAGTAGTAATAACATAATTTTTTTAACAATGACCATTTGAAATAATGCCATTTGCCGTAACATGGGTGGACCTAGAGGTTATACTAAATAAAGTAAATCAGAGACAGATATCATCCGATATCACTTATATGTGGAATATTTAAAAAAAGAGACACAAATGGAGTTATTTAAAAAACAGAAACAAACTCACATAGAAAAAAAGTTG